GCCATTATTTCAGCTTTAGCTTCAAGAAAGTTTTGGTTGTAAACAACAAAGTGCGCATTAAGCTAGCTGCTATTGGAAGGATGATCTCAGCATCAGCCAATCATGAAGAGCTTAAATGTATGCCCACCAATGTTGGGCACCCCTTGTGGGTATATAAGTGGAACGACCCCACTGTTCGCCTCCGATGGCTCTTAGTCCTAACAGAACCAGTGGGGCCAGCGGCTTAAGGGCTGCGACTAGACTCATAGAATCTGGGGTTACAATACGTAACTAACGTTCTATTTCGTCTAGTCTTAGCCCTTAAGCTAGCTGCTATTGGAATAAAGCGCAGCTGGATGGGTTTACGCCACACTGGTTAGCTCAACCAAATGGACACCCAACAGGTCTCCTTTTAGCGAGGGACGCTCAGCCTCAGCCCAGGGCTTAAAAGGCTGAGGCAGCCAGAGAGAAGAGTGGGGCCACCACTAAAAAATATCATCCACAAGAGGATGAAATTCATTCAAGCAGGGCTGATGTGGTGCCATAATGCTTTCATTCAGCCTGCTGAGGTCCAAGCACTGAACGAGTGATGGATCCTGAAGACACATCTCATAAATAATGACGAGTAAAGGAACAGGGTGAACCCCATGAAGCAGCCTGACAAATGTCTTCCATCGACACACCACTGTGGAGCGCCATAGAAGAGGAAATCCCTCTGGCTGAGTGAGCCCTGAGTGTCTCAGGAGGATCCCGCCCTGATGATGTGTAAGCGAGTGAAATGGCGTCACACAGCCCGTGTGAAAGACGCTGGGTCGACAGCGCTCCGCCCATCTCACAACCAGAGCAGAAAAAAGCACATCGGCTTGGATTATACAGACGGGATTATGTGTGTGAATTAATGCCGGTTAAAGTATTAAAGTGTTGTTGGTGTGCATGTTGTTTAGTTGCTAATGCTATAATTAGTATAATCAGGGTTTTTTCGTGAGCCCTACACACTGTGAGTGATGCGCGTTTGGGGAGTGCTGGCACTGGTTTAGTGTGAGATACTGGAGGTGTGGCATGAGAGCGTGTGAAGAAGGTCAAATGCATGTGTCTCATACTCAGTGCATTGTTAGTAGCACTTAGGCCTAGTCCACACGTAGCTGGGTTTCTAAAAAAACGAATATCCGTCCCTCCAAAAACTTGCATCCACACCACCTCGTTTAAAAACAAACTCTGTCCACACGTACCCAGATAAATACGTTGTTAAGGACATGCCAGACCTGTAGGCGGCAGTACTTCCCCGTTCTTAACCTCGTCCTTCGTCTGTGGTCTTCCGCAAGGAGCAGTAGTTCCTCTTGCAAAAACAAACAAGCAAAAAGCGCTTGGACGATTGATAAAGCGAGCGCAGCTCTGAGGGCATCCATGATGCCGGCTAGTGTAAACACAGGTCGCACACGTGATGTCAGCATTTTTTTGTCGCGGAAAGTGACGTTGCGGACCTTAAAACTCCGGTTTTGTCCGTCCACACGCAGACACCCAAAACGGAGAAAACGTAGATCTTCACTTTGTTTTCGTGTGGATGACAGGCCAAAACGTAGAAAAATATCTACGTTTTGGCTAGTGATGGGTACCTTTGACATTTGAATCGATCCGGCACTAATTACCGGTACCTAGGAATCGATACCGGTACTTAACGGTACCAATTTTCGATACTTTTGAGTGTTTATTATTTTAATTCTCTTTTATAATTAAATATATATTTTTCTCAATATATAACCATATTTGATAAATATCACGATAAATAACATACAACAGTTTGTATTTTAACATCATCCTTGTAGTTTTATAAGCTGATAATTAAACTGAAGCAAACATCTTTACTATGAACTAAATTTACTGTGTGTCTTCATTCCTTTTGCCGTCTTTTTCATTTGATTTTTCCTACTGGGAAGTTAGAATTTCCTAGGAGAAAGCGAACGCACCATTAGCTGATAACAATGGTAGCAATGGAAGCTAACATATCAAGCTAACGATATCTTAAACAGTTTATTTAGCTGCTGGAGCAGATTAAAACGATGATGCCTCACACTTAGATCGTCACTGGTTTCGTCTTCACCCGTCAAATTTAGTAAAGTGAAGCCAAACTTTAGAGAGCGTTCATGTTGTTCTAGTCAGAGATTCGGAGTTCCGAAGAGAAAGCGAACGCACCATTAGCGAAACGGAAGCTAACATATCAAGCTAATTATATTTACCTACCGGAGCACATTAAGATGAGGATGTCTCACTTAGATAGTTGTCGCTGGTTTCATCATCACCCAGTTACCCATCACATTTAGTGAAGTGGACCCAAGCTTTAGCCTGCGTTCTCTCTACTGTGCTGCTCTGTTTACAACGGGCTCGCAGCGACCGACGACAAAACGCTCTTGCGCATGCGCAGCTGTCTTGGCAAGTTCTCGTTATGATGGACGGGTACCGAAACGAGGCACCGTTTGAAATGATGTGAATCGGTGCTCGGTCGGTACTATGGAATTCGGTCGGTACCTTAAAAAGTACCGAATTCGGTACCCATCCCTAGTTTTGGCAGATCCCCGGCTACGTGTGGACAGGGCCTGTGTTTCTGGTTCTGACCCGGGACCTCGGGTTTCTTCAGCAGAAACTGGTTCTGCCGTCTCTCACGCCACACGGATGTAACTGTTCTGTTAGATTAGATTCTTCTGGTCTTGCTTTACACACACACACACACACACACACACACACACACACACACACACACACACACACACACACACACACACTCTACTGTCTTTTGTCTTAGTGAGGACCATATATTGACTTCCATTCATGCTTGTGACTGTACTATGCCTAACCCATAACCAATGCTGATATATTCCTACCTCTGACCTTATCTGAGACCTAATCCACACCATACCTCTAAAAGCAACTGGTAGACATTTTTAAAATATTGAGGACCGCAAAAATGACCTCACTCTGATGGTTAAAACCTCATGATGGTCTTCAGTATGTAAGTCCAAGAACACACACACACACACACACACACACACACACACACACACACACACACACACACACACACACACACACACACACACACACACACACACACACACACACACACACACACACACACACACACACACGCGCATGCTGTGATCGGTTCTAAGCTATATAAGAGGAACTGGGTGTTGTTTCCTCTGTGATTGTCTGACAGAACGTCTTGATTCCCAAAGCCTCTCAAACAGAACTTCTCCAGACCCTGTTCATGGCTCGTCCCCCAGTGTGCGTGTGTTTTTGTTGTTGCTAGGCAGCGACTTGCCGTAGCTGTGGAATGACCCTCAGTAACAGAAGAGGAGGATGGGAGGGGATTTCTGTTTTGGTTTGGCTCTATTCTCAGAAACAGCAGTTGCCTTGTCTAAAATAAGGCTCCAACGCTTTATTTCTCAATTCTGGTTCCTGACAGACGGACGTCTCGCCCTCTGGTTGTTGTTACTCTTACAGCAGATGTACAGTAACTAGTAGGTCACTTATAACACGCCGGTCTGTTGAGATAGCTCCTAGTAAAAGTCTAAAGTCCTTTAGGGAAAAAAATCACTGGGTCTTTCTTTTTTTATCAGAAATGTAAACATGTTTATAAAACCAAATATACAGAAACCTCCCAACACATGTACAAACGCAGCATAAATGTTTAAAATCGTTTGAATGATTCATTTGATTGAGTGTTGCAGACCTGCTGTTTTACTTGAAGGATAATAAATGCTCCCTACATGCTTCAGTCACACAATCAGAGACAGGGCGATGGTGGTGGCGCAGGAGTTAAGTGCTCACCATGTAATCCGAAGGTTGCAGGTTGGAGTCCTGCTCAGTCTGTCGCTGCCGTTGTGTCCTTGGGCAACACCCCCCCTTTGCCTTCTGGTGGTGGTCGTAGGGACCGGTGGCACCAGTGCTCAGCAGCCTCGGTGGCTCATCCCCACCAGCGTGTGAATGGCTGATTGTGTTGCAAAGCGCCTTGGGGGGTTCTAGTACTCTAGAAGGCGCTATATCAAAAACAGGCCACTTACATAGACGGCTGTTACTAGACCAGCTCAGAGCTGCATGTCTGCACGGATGGCACACTAATGAGCTGACAGCTGCTGTAACCCAGCTTTTATCAAATTCAGGAAAGATTGGTGACCCAAGTTCTCTCCGTCTGGACTTGACTGCTGATTGGACCTCTTTACTCTCTGGTGTTGAGGGTTGGTCCATGTGGCACGTTCCCATGTGGTGTAGTGTGTAGATCTGGTAATAAACAGTCCTGGTTATTCTTTATTTTTACATTAAAGCAGAACTTTGTTCAGTCGTGTGAACTTTAAAATGTCGTTGAGACAAATATGATCTCAGCATTTTCCTAAACTTAAAATCAGGTTATTCACGTGTATTTATTACCAATTAATGAATTCACAAGTAGTTTTAGCTTCATAGCATTCTTAAGTGTCAAGTGTGAAAACAAGGAGTTTGAGTCAAAAAGCATTGGTGCCATAGAACCGTGAGTCCTTTCCTGGTAACCTTCATTTCTTCTCTGTAATGAAGGGTTTTGTCCTTAAGGACAGGGTGGTGAAGCAGCTCTCGGCACTTGGACGCTTGGGGCGACGGTGGCACAGGAGTTAAGTGCTCGCCTCGCTATCGGAAGGTCGCAGGTTCGAGATCCGCTCAGTCTGTCGCTGTCGTTGTGTCCTTGGGCAAGACACTTAATCCCTCCTTGCCTGCTGGTGGTGGTCGGAGGGACCGGTGGCGCCAGTGCTCGGCAGCCTCGCCTCCGTCAGTGCGCCCCAGGGCAGCTGTGGCTACATCGTAGCTCATCCCCACCAGTGTGTGAATGTGTGTGTGAATGGGTGAATGACTGGTTGTGTTGTAAAGCGCCTTGGGGGGTTCCAGGACTCTAGAAGGCGCTATATCAAATACAGGCCATTTACCATTTACCATTTGTCCTCCTGCTCCCTGTCCTGGATCCAAACATTAAGCTGTGTGTGTTTTTTCTGTTGCAGCTTGCAGGAGGGGTCATACTGGGCGTGGCCCTCTGGCTCAGAAACGACGGCAAGATCAGCAGCCTGCTGGGGCTGGAGCTGGATGGAACTCAAGCCCCCAACTCCTTCTACGTCTGTACGTACCCGTCTGCGTCTCTGTCTCATGAGGCTGTCTCACTGGTCCGTACGGTCAGAGCGGTAGCAGCAAGAGCGTCTTGTTCCCCACATGTTTTATAGGAGTTATTCTGTGGATATATTAACCAAACTAAACCAGCTGTTTAACTCTGGTGTTAATCAGATTCTGGTCCAAAGGTGTCCTCCAACAGCTCCTGGTTGAAGGACGTGTTGGACAGATGCATGGACGCAGTAGAGAGCTTTAAGGTTGGTTTATGCTTGACGCGTCCGCGAGGTCCGCACGGCTCCGCGCGGAAAAGCTGCGTCATTTTGCGTCATTTTAACAACCACGCCCCTCCACCGCGTCTCCGCACGGCCCAAGATTTCCGCAACGCGCACCTCGGAAAATTTCTAACCACGCGGACGGTCGGACGCGGAAAAACATGGCGGACCGGCACGGCAGAGGTTTGTAAATACAGACATTTGTATGACTCAGCTCTCAGAGATCACCGTGATCAACATGTTGTTAATAATTCTTGGACAGAAAAAGCTCGCACTGTCGGAAAAGACGAGAACGCTGTTAAAAATGCTGAAATACCATGTTGTAAACAGTGATTTCTACTTCTACTATGGTGTAGTGTTGGATGCATGCTGTAGAGCTCCATGCTGCCCCCTACAGTTTGGGAGAATATTGGCTCACTGCAGAGACGAGCCACATGAACCATAAACGCTGCGAGTTGTGAAGCGCGTTCCAGCCGCGAGCCGCATCACTGCGCGGAAAGTGAATGCGTCAAGCATAAACCAAGCTTTAGCTGCTGCAGCAGAAGCTGGTGGTTTGTGCTGCTGTGGTGAGACGAATGAACCTTTCAGAAGGATGTTGTTGTTGTTGAGTTCCAAGTTCTCCCAGACTCTGGACTCCTTCAGTCTTTAAAATGTTTGTATCTCAGCTAGTTTGAGCTCAGCTTTGGCCACCATGATGGTTTAGAACGGGGTGGGGAACCCTGGTCAAGGGCCGCTGTCCAGCATATTTTAGTTTCAACCCTGCATCATCACACCTGATTTCAATCAGCAGGTGATTAACAGGCCTGTGTGGAGCCTGATGAGCTGCTGAACAGGTGAATCACCCACTGAGGCCCTGTCCACACGTAGCCGGGGATCTGCCAACACGTAGATATTTTTCTACGTTTTGGCCTGTCATCCACACAAAAACGGAGTTTTTTCACACGAAAACGGATCTTTTTAAAAACTCCGGCCAAAGTGAAGATCTGCGTTTTCTCCGTTTTGGGTGTCTGCGTGTGGACGGACAAAACCGGAGTTTTAAGGTCCGCAACGTCACTTTCCGCGACAAAAAAATGCTGACATCACGTGTGCGACCTGTGTTTACACTAGCCGACAGCATGGATGCCCTCAGAGCTGCGCTCGCTTTATCAATCGTCCAAGCGCTTTCTGCTTGTTTGTTTTTGCAAGCGGAATTACTGCTCCTTGAGGAAGACCACAGACGAAGGACGAGGTTAAGAACGGGGGAAGTACTGCCGCCTACAGGTCTGGCATGTCCTTAACAACGTATTTATCCGGGTACGTGTGGACAGAGTTTTTTTTAAAACGCGGTGGTGTGGATGCAAGTTTTTGGAGGGGCGGATATTCGTTTTTAAAAACCCCGGCTACATGCGGACTAGGCCTGAATCAGAAGTGTTGGGGCAAACAGGTGCAGGATACCGGCCCTCGAGGACCAGGGTTCCCCGTGCCTGGTTTAGAAACTAGCTTGGGATGATCTGGCCAATGACTAAAGGCCTACACACTTTCCTCTGAAAAAAAGCATTTGTAGTTTGATCTAACGGCCTGTTTCTTCTCACAAATCCCATTTAGTTCATATGTGCTAAGTTTTTAAATGAACTCAGAGACAGAACTATCCCAGATAAATGTGGTCACTGTGCTGTTTTTATCCAGACCTTTCACTCACTGTAAGAACGCTGACTCACAACAGGAGTGTCCTTCTGCTTTGTTGCTGCTAAACAGAAAAACTCCTTTCTAGACTACAACTAGATGTGAGGTTATGATCAGAAAAAAAAAATCAGCCAGAGCAAGTTTAAGGCAGCTTGTTGTCTGGGGTCCTTCGTAGAGCTGAGGAAAATAATTTAACAATCTTTGAAGAAGCGCATCATACTCAGTAGTAGCCGCTAGCATTAGCCACTAGCTTGCTCCATCTTTAAGCGATTATTAGATGTATTCTTGCACGTCTGCTTGATCAGGAAACCTCTGGGTCAACGTTCTGCTCTAAACTTTGCATTTGGCTTTGTAGCTTTTATTATTTGAGACGTTCGTGTGTGCTTTAGTGAGCCTTTTCACCATGACTGCCAACCGGAGCGTTGTTTATGCCAAATCCCTCCCCTGTGATAGGATATGAGCCATCTCTAGATGAAATTTAAACAAGTATACAATAATTATGAATGTATAATTAAATGAAAGTACCTGTGGGACATTTGAAATGTTTGTCTCTAGCTCTCAACTTTGAGTAGGTAGGTAGGTAGGTAGGTAGGGAGGGAGGGAGGGAGGGAGGGAGGGATTGGAATTTTAAGATTTTTTTAGGATTCAGAAATATTTAATCCTATTTTCTGTGACGCAGTATGCTTTCAAATGTATGTATTTTACTGGTAAATAAATTACAGAAAGTAGAAGAAATAGTGATAAAATCATGATCGTGATTTTTTTCCCCCATATCGTCCAACCCTACGCTGAACTTGAGATTGTTATCCACACCTTCATCTCCTCTCCTCACCTACTTCACCCTGGAAGCATAACAGCAACAGAATCGTTGACCCGCGACTTTTGCTGCAGTCCTGTACACACCGGGGACCTCGTTTATCAACCGTACTTAGGCACAGAGCTGTGCATATTTCATGCGTAAGCACGAATTTACACATTGTGTGGTATGTACCAACTTGTACGTGTGCGTGAACATGTTCATAAATATAAGAACAGCTCCGACCATGCGTAGGAACAGCATCTAGTGGTAGAACGGGGGATTCTAGTTTTAGTTGCGTTTGGAGACCACAAACAATTATTGATATTTGAGTAGGGATGAGCCTACGGCACGGATAAAGCATTTTTGACGAATACGAGCATGAAACGGGTAAAACTCGTTAATATCTGTAATCGTGCTGAAGGAAAATCCTCACTGGGTAACTCACTGTCTTCACGCTCTGTGATTGGCCAGTCACGTAGAGCTCCCGCCCCTCCCTACACACAAAACTCTGCAGCCAGTAACTCAGTCCGTCCGGCCCATCCAAGCACGCACACACACACACACACAGTAACGGATCTCTGTGCTTGCTTCACTGTTGCTCACGTTTCTTCAGAACTCCCAAGGTTTTCCTCGGCTCACCTCTTTTTCGGTTGAATATTTAACCCTTTGATTAGGTATACCAATACCAGTATCGGTATCGGTAAAAGTTAACCGATACCAGGAACCGATCCCAATGCAGTTGCTTGAAAATGGCTTCACTGTAACTTGTCATTTCTGTTCACCTAATATTTTAGATTTGTGATGATTTCCATTCATATATTTTACTTTTTATCTACCTCACAGTCTTTTCCTGTGGAAAGCGGAGAAGAAAATAAAATCTGTATTCCAAATCATTGCATTGTTTTGTGTGGTGGAAGTATCGGTAATCGGCATCGGCGAGTACTCAGATCCAAGTATCGGTATCGTATCGGTTTGGAAAAAAGGTGCATCCCTATCTTTGATGCATGATGGTCACTACAGTGGACAGGTACTCAAAATTGTTATTTCTTTATTTTTGCTATTGAGCACAGCTGTTGAAGACTTTATTGCATGTGAGCCTCTCCATTTGGACTTCAGTAAGTCAAGCCAACATATTTCATGTTCAGAATGCACGCTGTCCACTGAGGTGGACGTGTAATAAATTATTTGTAAATAATTAAATGTTATAAAAAATATTTGTTGACATTTGTTTCATTCACACACCTAAAGATGAATGAAAAAAATTGTTTAAAAATCATAGTTGAAGATTTCATAATTCATGCATCAGAGGGTTAAAGTAACCTTTTTCGTAACGCACGTGATGCATTTGACAAGACAGAGCTGAAAATGGCTCGTGCATGCGTCAGCCGGGTCTCTCTCTCTCTCTCTCTGTCTCTCTTGCTGTCTCTCTCTGTCTCTCTCTCTCTCTCTGTCTCTCTCTCTCTCTCTCTCTCTCTCTCTCTCTGTCTCTCTTGCTGTCTCTCTCTGTCTCTCTCTCTCTCTCTGTCTCTCTCTCTCTCTCTCTCTCTCTCTCTCTCTCTCTCTCTCTCTCTCTCTCTCTCTCGCTGTCTCTGTCTCTCTCGCTCTCTCTCTCTCTCGCTCTCTCTCTCTGTCTCTGTCTGTCTCTCTGTCTCTGTCTCTCTGTCTCTCTCTCTCTGTCTCTCTCTCTGTCTCTCTGTCTCTCTCTCTGTCTCTCTCTCTCTCTCTGTCTCTCTCTCTCTCTGTCTCTCTTGCTGTCTCTGTCTCTCTCTCTCTGTCTCTGTCTCTGTCTCTCTCTCTGTCTCTCTCTGTCTCTGTCTCTCTTGCTGTCTCTGTCTCTCGCTCTCTCTCTCTCTCGCTCTCTCTCTCTGTCTCTCTCTCTCTCTGTCTCTCTGTCTCTCTGTCTCTGTCTCTCTGTCTCTCTCTCTCTGTCTCTCTCTCTGTCTCTCTGTCTCTCTCTCTGTCTCTCTCTCTCTCTCTGTCTCTCTCTCTCTCTGTCTCTCTTGCTGTCTCTGTCTCTCTCTCTGTCTCTCTCTCTCTCTGTCTCTCTCTCTCTCTGTCTCTGTCTCTCTTGCTGTCTCTGTCTCTCTCTCTCTCTCTCTCTCTCTCTCTCTCTGTATTAATTCTGATTTTATTGAAACACTTGTTCTGTAATAGTTTCTTTACTATTGTGATCAAAAATATTTAATCTAAATTCTGAGGCTGCTCTGTAAATAGTTTTCAAATAAACAATACACATAGCAACTTCTGATCAGACTTAAAATAATGTATTGATGTAAACC